CGGAAAGTGATCCTGTGTGAGAAGTATTCTTGAAAGCATTAATACATTTGAATTACAGGGAATAAATATACCAGGTACCAAAGTAGCACTCGTAACAATGTTGCCTCCACATGAGAAACATTATCATAATTGGTTTCATGTAAAGCACGCACAGAAAGATGAGCAATCAATCGTTTCCCCACGAGAGGTCTGGAACGCACACCAGATGAGCTCTTTAGCTGAACGTATTTTAGAAGAGGCAGAACGTGAAGGCCAAGTGCTGTGGCACAAGCCCTAAGCCTCTAACCAGACTAATCTTGCACACTCAGCGGGCCCCAGCACAAGGTACCTCTCTGTTGCGAGAAGTGCTGTGATAACTGACATGCTATAAAATTCCAGAGAATTAGGAAAAGCCAGCAATCTGCCTTTCTGATTCTGCCAGAGAATACGCTTCACCATTTTATTGCCTGTGAAGATAAAATCAAACATTGCCTTGACTCCTGGATGTTGCTCTAATTCAATGCCCCCCTACCTCGTGCGGGCTTGTATGGTGTGTGGCCACTTGTCTGCCTCTTAAATAGCTGGTCACCGGGGCGGGAGCCAAGGGTTTTTATATGCTTTCTCACCGACCTCTGCCAAGACAGATTCTCAAATAATTAGATCTTGCTGCTCTGCCCTTCATTTTTACCACTTCCTAACATTTGCTTCCTTCTAAGACTTAAAGCTCCAGAGCAGCTTTTAGAACCACCATTGCAGGACTGTAGAGAGAAGGAGGTCTCATCCTCCTTCTGCACGTCCAAATCCTATTGAGTCTAATTCCAATGCCGCCTCCTCCAGGAAACCCTCTCATATCTTGGCAGTCAGAAATGGTCTCTTCTCCTACTCCCAGAAACACCGTAAGCATCACTATGGAAGCCACTTGTCACTTTCTGTTGCAGATCATGGGTATTTCTCTATATCTTCTGTCTCCCCTGGAAGAGTTTAAGTCCCTGGAGAGAGAGGGCCCCGGTTGGAGTCCCAGCTCTAGTGTGTCCTAAACATGTGACTCTTCGCACAGGACTTCACCTTTCCTATTTAGTTCGTAAGCTGTGCAATGGGAATGACCATACCTGCATAATAAGGACTTTGCAAGGACGTAACTTGTATAAAGCAAATGGCAAATTGGCCCCCAAAAGAGCCTCCATAAATATGTTGGGTGAGTGAATAAAGGATTGAATGAATGAATGAACAGCTTGTAACTTCAGCAAAGGCATTTACTACTTGCGAGATTCCAGAGCCCTAGTCCCCGCTGAAGGGCAGATGACGTAAATCAAACACCCCTGCCTAGCTGATGTTAAGACCCTTTCCAAGGGAGCAAGCCCATTCTTCCTTAAATCAATTAATCCTCACTGACAACTGCTAGAAGCTACTTATAAATAATAAACAATCAACTAAACGAAGTTTCTAACATCTTCACTCGAGACACACTCCTTCTAGTTTATCAAGCCCATATAGAGCCATTTGTGTGGTTGGAAAGGGTACCCCCTCCTCAAGACACTATTGCCATCCATGCCCCCCTCCGAAAAAAAGCTTAATACACAGCTTGATGCTGACACCTGAGTTATTCACCTGCTTTGTGCCACTTCAATGAAAATAAAATTTAGACTTCCTGACCAGACTTTTGCCCAAACTTAGGTACAAAGTCCAGGGTTTCCACCATCACAAAGGATTGGAAGGCTACTGTAGAATTCCCCATTCCTTCAGGAGCCCATTCGCTGAAATGTACTTTATGTGAAAGAGAAAGGCCTTCAAGGATGGTAAACGCTTGTGTGGTTTCTGGGTCTAGGGTGAATGGGGCCCCCTCCAGTGGAGAAAGACATAACGTGGAGGGAATCATAGAGGTCCTAAATCTCAGCTTTTCAGTGTTCTCTTGCCCCTGGTACAAATTCATCCATTCAAGGAACATTTTATTAGTATTTTTGTTTTTTGTGTTACTTCTTTCTTTCTTAGAGAGGGAAAGAGGGGCAGAGGGAATCTCAAGCAGGCTCCATACTCAGCTCGGAGCCCGACACCGGGCTCGATCTTACAACCCTGAGATCATGACCTGAGCTGAAATCAAGAGTGGGACGCTTAACCGATTGCACTACCCAGGTGCCCCCAAGGAACATGTTTAAAGCACTGACTAAGTGCTAGCCCTCGGGTATGAAGCTGAGTGGAACCCAGACTGGATTCCCTTTATGAACTCACAGCCCAGTGATGGGGACTGACATATGACGTGAGCAATACCCTGATAGAATGATGAACACTATATCTTGGGAGCGAAGATGGAGATGTGCCCAACTCAACCAGAGCTGTGAGTTTTAAGGATTTTGAGCTGAGTTTTGAAACTTGGAAGGAACTCACTAAGTAGACCAAATCAAAAGGGCATCCTAGCTGGATGAAAGGTTTGTGCTAAGGCCCAGCTGTGCACACACGCACAGCAATCTGGGGAGCTATACATGGTTCAACCCGTTCCCCAACCTGCAGCCAGAGATCTTTCAAAAATACAAATCTAGCATCGCACCCGCTGAACTTGAGCGTACCTTCTGTTTAATGTCTGTCCTCCCCCTTAGATTGCCAGCTCTAGGGGAGCTATGGCTATCTTGCTCACCACTGGATTCTCAGAGCCTAGCACGGGATCTGACACATAACAGGAACTCAGTGAATGAACGGACGGGCCAAGTGAGGTCTGAAGAGAAATTGGACTGAAGAGTTGGGCAGTGTACACGGTGAAGGACCTTATGTAGCTCACGGAGGCATTTGGATTGTGTTCACAGACTATGGGGAGCCTTTGGAAGATTTTTAAGCAAGCGCTGTAACTGGATTTGTGTTTTTAAAGGATCACTTTCGGAGAGATAACTCTGGCACCAGTCGAAACAGGATGGATCGGAAGATTGTCTGGGCGGGAGATAGGAGGACTCGTTAATGAAATGGCATTCTTAATGCTCAGAGAGTGAGAGCCTGGATCGGCGAGGGATGTGGAGGGGAATTAGGGTGCGGAGACACCTATGTGGCTATTCAACAAGTAGAAACATCAGGATCTGGAGTTGACTGGTTTTATGGGATTTGGAGAAGGATTTAGGATAGCGCCACAGTTTCTGCTTAGACCACTAGATGAGGAAAAAGAGTCAATTTAATCAATAGGACCGTGAAGCTCGAATTATCTGTTTACTTTGGGTTGTCAGTCACTGGGGCCTCAATCAAGGAAAACCATTTTTTCTGCTGCTTCTGGTCAGCCTTTCCGAGCAAGGAAGCAACAATTATCTGTCTTTGGCTCTGCCAGGGACTCTTAGACTCAAGTGTGAGAACCCTTGTTCCGTCTGTAACCCAAGTGAGTCAGTCAGTCCTATCTGGTTATAACATCGGCACCTTTCCATCTGATTCGAAGTCTCTTAAGATGTGTTTTTTGCTTCTACAAGCTCCAGGCTACACTGCTGTGTTATATTACAGAACAAGGCACAAAGGAGGCATTGATCAGCTGGTCTGCCATCAAATTCCTAGGTCGTTCCTCTGCTGCATCCTGTCTCTGGCACAATGAGGGACTGACCCAGGGTGCCCACCGGCTGTTTCCACAGGTCGGGGTGGGGTGGGGGACTCCTTCTACATTCTGGGCACCGCCCAGGGAAGGTTCAGGACAGGCCCCTAGTGGAGGCTGGGAGTCCAGGCTGAGTTGTTATGCTCAGAGCCTTATGGAAAATTTGAACAGGGCCTGAGCAAACAGCACGGCTCACTTCTTGGCATCTGTAACTGGGACTCACCAAAATGCGATGTGGAGTCAGCAAGTGAGGTCAAGTTTGGCTGAGAACCTCAAACAGAGGGGGAGAGTCAAGGAGAGGAAGGAAGGGGAGACTGGAGCATATGTAACTAGGATGCAGCCCTTGTTAAAAACAACTGAATAAAGGAACCCTTGGAGGAAAAGTGGTCACTCCAAATCCAGAGGCAGTCTACCCTTGCTCACCTGCTACCTGCCCCCGAGGCTGCCCGAAGGTGTTCAGCAAATGCTGCTCCCCAGTCAAGTTCAAAGACCTGAGAAAACAACTCACAAACCCTTTTTGAGGAGAGTCACACATTCGGTCACACAGACTTCGGGAATTCCACGGAACCGAGAAACTGAAGTTTCTGTTTAAAGCCATGACTAGGTCTCATGTAAGACTAGGGGTTAGTACTTCTGCATACAGGCAGGAAATGTCCACAGCTCCAGATCCTGCAGGCAAACCCACCATTCCCTGGGTGGCAGTTAAGCAAACACTTTCAGAATGAGTATTAGGCACTTTCAGGTCCCTTGGGAACATTTTGCTCTCAGATCATAATTTTGTAAGTGGTTCCCCAGGGATCTGAAAGAATTCATGCTCTTATGGAAGGGGGCTCGCACACTTAAAAACTCGAGGATTTGCCCCAACACATGCATATGCTTGTAAAGACGTCCAAAAGTCTCAGTTTTGCTCCCAAAACTTGCTTCGTCTAAAATCTCCTGGGGGACATATTAAAAAATCCAGATATCCTGGTCCCTCCCCTGAAGACTGATTCAGTAGGTTTATAGTAGGGCCTTCCGGAATCTGGATTTTAACAAGGGTGCCTGGAAATCCTCATGGTTAGGCAAGTAAAGGCAATGCTTTCCAGCCAGGAGTCGCAGGTGGAGGGGGCAGGCCAGCCTACGGTCATTCCCACCAGACCCCCAACAGATAAGCAGTGACTACGATGGGGAGGAGATCATACTGGCCTGAGTGACCACAGGGATCTGGTAGTAGGAGAGGCCTGTGCTGGGCATGGCGACTGCAGGGAGGAATGCTCCAGAAGAAGGAAAGAAGCACTCAGAACAGGGTTCAGAGGTGAGGGGGTTTGCCAACCACTCTGCATCTCCTCAAAGCTCATGAGGCGATCGTTCCTGCATAAGCTATTCTAAATGAGGCCGTTGCTGCTGGATTATGAGTCATTACCATAGGACGGTTTGGCCAGGACCTGTCCGGGGCGTAGTGGTGGGATGAAACAAAGGAGAACATCTGGAGAGTTAGGAGTAAATGTAATTTGGGGGGAGGTACCAGCTCATACGGTACAAAGTCATAGGTGCCCTGGTGTGGCTCAGGCCATGTTTCTCTGTGACCCTGAGCTCCTGAGGAAGGGCCTTGTGGGTTTGTGTGTGTGAACCCCAGGTGCCTCGTGTTTCCAGAGTCCAGCACAGTGCCTGGCACACAGTACATCATCAGTGGACGCCGCTGCCTTGCTTTGAACTGTGCCCCTTGATATTATTTGACCTTGGGGCTACTGGCATTTTGACGGAGATGTCTGACTCACGACCAGAGCACTATCTGATTCTCATTTTCCCTTGAAAGTGTTAGGAAATGCTTAGGCCTGTGGCGGGAATCACTGTCTACTCTAATTTCATTTCAGCGACTTAGTCTCCAGGTGTCTTGCTGGCTTCCCGTGGCTCTTCAGATTCACGCTGACTCAGGCCCGTCCCTTCGGATGCTGGTGCTGAGAAACCCTCCTGGCTCAGATTGAATGACCAGCCAGACACTCCAATCCCCCACTGCCTTGAATGTGGGCTCCTTCCTGAGGGGCCTTCTCTCTCTCTTTGTCCTACTCAGCAACATGCTCTAGAAGTCCCAGGTGGAATTCGTCAATGAAATACTGAGCCGCGCGAGCCTTCTCTGACAGCTTCAATTATCAGCTGAGGGAGTAAAAACAAAAGTCAGGAAGAGATGTCAGAGGCAGAAAAGCAGCACAGAGTTGGGTCCTCCTGTGGCATGTATAACGTGAGGGAATAGGTTTTTCTTCTAAGGTTTGGCTCCGTTTTGGGAGTTTGCTTCCTGAGAGGCATTAAAAAGCCCTTATTTGACCAGTTAAAAAAAATAAATGACCCGAAGAATGATTTATCTGTGATGGACTAACACTCTGTTTTTTAGGGTAGAGTGTAAAACATATGACTAACAATATCTTTTATTGAGCAACTACTATGTGCCAACTATTTGACCGAGATAGTCTCCAGTTCTTAAAGCCCTGCTACGTATGTGGTCCTACATCCCTTCCCCATCTGCACCTTTCCAATGAAGCTAAGGCTCTTCGAGAAATCTGCTCAAGGTAACAGAAGGTTGCAGGGTCAGGTTTTGAACTTTGGACTCCAAAACCTAAAAAAAAAAAATGCTCAGGAAAACAGTCTACCAGCTCCTCAAAAGTTTGAACACGGAGTTCCAACATGAGCCAGCAATTCCTCATTTTTTTTTTTTTAGTCTTTAACACTTTTTATAACACTAATTTGTGTTTTGTTTTGGGAACGGCTTTATTGCGATATAATTAACATATCCTACTATTCAACCATGGAAAGTGTACACTTCAGTAATTGTTAGTGTATTCACAGACTTGTGCAGCCCTCATCGCAATAAATTTTAGAACATTTTCATCGCCAAAAGAGAACCCCCATATCCTTTAAGTATTTCCTCCCTTATTCCTGGATCCCTTTTCCAGCCATAAGAAGCCACTGATCCACTTTCTGTCTTTATAGATTTGTATATTCTGAACATTTCACATAAATAGAATTATCCAGTATGTGTCCTCTTATGTCTGGCTTCTTTCCCTTAGCATCGTGTTTTCAAGGTTCATCCACGTTCATCCCTCTTTATGGCTGAATCATATTCTACAGTTGTATGGATTGAACTGTGTCCCTCCAAAATACATACGATGAAATCCTAACCCCTAGCACATCAGAATGTGACTTTATTTGAAAACAGGAACACTGCACATATAATCAGTCATGCTGGAGGTCAGATACATATACATAGCCATATTGAGTAGGTGGCTCCTGACTCCAGTATGATCGATGCCCTTATACAGAGGGGAAATTTGGCCACAGAGATGTGCATACAGGATGAACACCATGTGAACACAAAGAGATGAGAGCCATGTACCTGTAAGCCGAGGAATGCCAGAGGTGGCCACCATCCACCAGAAGCTCAGAGAGAGGCACGGAAGATTCTCCCTCACAGTCCTCAAAGGTGCCAACCCTGCCAACACCTTCATCTTGGACTTCTTGCCTCCAGAAGTGTGAAACAATACATTTCTGTCTAAGCCACCCGGTCTGTGGCTCTTTGTCATGGCAGCCCCCGCAAACCAACCCTCACTATATGAATTTACCACATTTTGTTTGTTCACTTGTAAGTTGTTGGACATTTGAGTTGTTTCTACTTTTTGGCTATTATGAATAATGCTGCTATCAATCTTTGCGGACAAGTTTTTGTGTGGACGTGTGCTCTCATTTCTTTTGGGTGTATATGTACCTGGATGAGGAATTGCCGGCTTATGTTGGAACTCCGTGTTCAAACTTTTGAGGAGCTGGTAGACTGTTTTCCTGAGCAGTTACACCATTTTCCATTCTTGCCAGCAGTATATGAGGATCTGGTTTTTCCACATCTTTACCAGCATTGTTATTGGCTGTCTTTTTTATTAAGGTCATACTGTGAATTTGAAGTAGTATCATATTGTGGTTTGATTCGCATTTCCCTGATGACTAATTATATTGAGCATTTTTCACGTGCTTTACGGCCATTTGTGCATCTCCTTTGAAGAAAGGTCTATTCAGATTCTCTGCCCATTTTTTCCATTGGTCTGTCTTTTATTATTGAGTTATAAGAGTTCTTTATATATTCTAGATACAAGTCCCTTATCAGATATTTGCAAATATTTCCCCACAATCTGGGGGTTTTCTTCACTTTCTTGATGTATTCTTTGAAACACCAAAGTCTTTAATTTTGATGAAGTCCAATGTATATATTGCTGATTAGTGTTTTATCCACCTATTTTGCCTCTAAAACTTGCCCCTCTGCGGTTGGTTTTCCAAGAGCAGCCAAAGTGATCTTATTTTTAAGTATAAAGCAAACCCTCCCAGGCCTCTGCACGTGGGAAAATCCCAAAGATTCACTTGTGGGATCTGGCGCCATCCACCTCTCCAGTATCATCTTATATTCTCTCTCTTGCTCACAACATCCCAGCTGCTCTGACCTTTCTCTAAATGTCTACCTAGCTCCTGCTTTGGGGACTTTGCACTTGCTGTTCCTTTGTTGTATGAGCCTCTGTAATTTACATTCACCTGTTCCTTCTCTTCCTCCCAGACTCAGCTCAAATGCTGCTTCCTCTGAGAAGTCTTTCCTGATTGCCCTCTCTAATGTAGCAACTCCTCATCCACCCTAAATCCTCTTTAGTACATCACCCTGTTTCATTTCTGCCAAGGGGACTCACATGAAACTTTATTTATGTATTTACCATCTGTCTGTCTCTGCTCGAACCTAAGTTTGATAACAGCAGTGACCTTCTCTGGCTTGTTCATTGCTACATGTTCGTTTTGAGGACAGTGCTGGGCATATAGGAGGTAGTTGGGAAATATTAGTGGAATTACGGAGCAATGCGGTAGAGCAGTAACTAGACAAAGTGTAGTTTAGCATGGCAACTCAACTGAGAGAAGCCTTCATAAATCTCAGGATTGGAAAGAACCGTAATCCTTTGGGTTTTATCAAGTCCCTTCAGTACAGTATAGTTTACCTAATTTGGAATATTGGGCCTCTGACAGGATGGGAAAGCCAAGGGGTGTATCCTTTATGTACACGAGAAAAATCCTTCTCAAATTTTAAAATGTAAACAAATTACCGGGGGGTCTTGTTAACGTGCATCCTCTGATTCACTAGATCTGGGATTCTGCACTTCCACCAAACACTCAAGTGATACTGTTGCTGGTCCGGAACAGCTTGGAGCAACAAGGGTTGAGGGGACATGAACACTTTAGTTCACAGGTGATGATGTCATACCACTGCCATCTTGAAACTAGCAGCATAGTAAATCTTCACATAGCAAAGGAAGAAAGCTGCACATTTCAGTCTCTGAAGGGGTCAGGTCATCGAACAATCCCCTCCTCTCCACCATCCAATGCGAGATTTCCCTCTACAAACATATCTTTTCCAGAATACTTGAGCCAACGGAGAAGGCCCCATCGTGGGAAAAGCCTACTCACCTTCCTATCTCTCAAACCTATGGATTTTCTGTTGAATCGCTATGTCTTCTCTCATTTTGTATGCTGAAAAAGAAGCACTTACATGCGATTCAATTCTACGAACACTTACTGAGCGTCTACTGTGCGCCTGCCTTGTGTTTGGAACTAGAGGCACACAGACCTGCCCTTTTCCTCCAGGAGTCTAGTCTAGCGACTGCAGTGACATGAGAAAACAAATGTGCTAGTTATGATACAATATGAATGCTTCTAAAATGGAAGCATCCAGAGCACTGGGGGAGCTGAAGCATTTTATTTCCAGAGTGAAGTAGAGACTTATCAGTTGAGTGAAATAAGTGCACCCATCTTGTCTGACTCCTTATTTGGCTAACCCAGTTGCTTCACACACCAGAGAGAATGGGAGAGGGGGTGAGCACAGGAGGGAGGAAGGGCAGGAGAGGCCTTTTACAGTGTACTAAGGGAGGGAGACCCGCACGCCATTCCATTTCCTAACAAGAGCACTGGAGACATGTCTAAAGCACCATGGAAACAGAGGAGGAGGTGGTTGATTTGGCCTAGAATGTTTGTTTGTTCATTTTTTAAGCAGGCTCTACACCCAGTGGAGGACTTGAACTCAGGACCCCGTCACATGCTCTATAGACTGAGCCAGCCAGGCGCCCCTTGGCCTAGAATGTTTAAAAGCGTCATGGAAAGGAGGTTTGGGTTTGATCCTGAAGGATGATCAGAAGGTTGGCAGATGGACAAGAGGAGAGCACTCCAGGCTCAGGGTCTTGTGGGGAGGAAATACTTGATGAACTCAAGTTCAATCCAGTCCAGTGAGAGCTAGGTGTGGCCCAGGTGTGGGTTACTCGGTTGGGGGCAGGGGGGGGTGAGTGGCTGAGGATGAGGCCAGAGCAGCGGGGAAGCTAGGACTTGCCCTCCAGGAAACAGAGATTAAAGGCAGACAACCGTGTTCACGTCATGGATCAAAAAAGGGCTCTGTGAGTTGGGGAAAAATGACAAGTTTAGTGCTGTTAAAATGCGGTCAGCAAACTCTGTCTGTAAGGGGCCATATAATTCTGTAAATATTTTAGGTATGCGGGCCTTTCGGAGTCTGTCACGACTATTCAACTCCACCATCACAGAGAATCTGTAAGTGAATGGGTGTGGTTGTATGCCAATCAAACTTTATCAATGCTCACATTTGAGATGCATATCATTTTCACGTGTGACGAAATAGTATTCTTCTTTTGATTTTTTTTTCTACTATTGGAAAATGTCAAAACCATTCCCAGCTCAAGGTCAGTATAAAGTCAGGCTGAGGCCCGTACCTGACCCCTGGGCTGTAGTTTGCGGACCCTGGGTGAGAGCAAGGCCGAGGGAAGGTAAGAGTGGCGGAAGCTGGGGAAAAGCCTGGCACAGACTGCGACTAAGGAATTCAACTGTATCCTGTGGCCAATAGAGAGCCACCGGAGCTGTTCAGGGCAGGAATATGGTGTTCAGATGAGGCACAAGTGGGAATCGGTGCCACCTGAGGGTGTCCTAGGAAGCCTGAGAATGGAGCTAAGTTGAGGGGGAAGCCAGTGATTTGCTGCAAGAAAATAAATTAATGCAAGCACTCTTTAAAAGCTTTAGCAGAATCTATTTACAGACAGAGTGCTAATTAAACTTTCTTCGTTTTTTCATTAAAACAGACCACACCCTCTGTTGGCACTTAATTGTGTTTTTCCAAGTACTTGAAAACAACAAATGGCATTTTCTTAATTACCCTAAGATAATTTTTATTAACACAAGTTGCCTTTGCATGTACAGTCCAATTTATTGAGATTTTTGTCCCACTTGGGCTTTATTCCATCAGCATGACTCAGAGCGGGAAGGTCTAATGCTCTGCCTCCTGGCAGGGAAGATACAATTATATTCAGTAGTGGGCTGGTAAATGTTTAACAACCTGCGGGGGGGGGGGGGGGGGAGGTGTGTATACATACATTTATTTTAACTTTCACTGACATAAGGGATATACACTACCCGATTTATAAATAATACCAAATTATACAATATTCGTTATGATAAATTCCATACAGCTAATTAATTCTCACAGAATGCTTTCATTTCTTTTTGCTGAACTCTTGTATTCATGGCCAATCGGTGTTTGCAACTCAACCATGATATGACAAAATAAGACTACGAATAAATGCTTGATTATTATCCAGTTCAGCGAAGAACTTGCTCATGTCATTGACAAATGAGTGTAGTTCCAACATGAATGTTGGTTGATATTTCTGTCCATGTTAATAAATAAGACAAAAGTGAAGCCATAAAGATATACGCTGTAGCTTCACTCATCTGTCAATGACATGAGCAACCTCTTTGCTGAATCGTATCACAGTTTGCAAATACTAGAAGAACATGACCTCAGATATTTTCACTGTTCACAACGTAAAGGTTACAGACATGACACGATTTTAATCTGTGTTATTAACATTTTCCTACCACTTTATTAAGTTTAGACAATCAACACAACAATAAATAAAACCTTGGTTTTTAGCCTTTGTAAATACTCTCACCATGGACAATTTCAAGCTGCCAGAATGTGGAATTGGGAAGAGATGTATAGTAGCACACCGTTAGAATAGTGTTTCTACCATACGGGTGCAATCAGCAGTTTGCCAAGTGTCTGAAAACCTAACTGTCGTTCTCTGGAATCAGCTCTAGCCGGCTCCAGCATAGAGCAGATTATGCCTCATTTTTCTAGAACTGCCTCTTGCAGTTCAGCAATCAAGAGTGTTACCCAGAGAAATTGCTTTGTTAAAACAAAAAAACGAACAGACCTCAAGTATCTTAATGTGAAGTCAGCTATGAATAAATCAGTTTGTCATCTAAAATTACCAGCTTAATAAAGTGACAACATTCTCAAAAATTAGCTTTAAACAGCCTCTAAAACATGCTCATTCTCACATGTCTGGGACCAATGATTAGATGCTCAGTAATAATATGGCCCTCGTGGCATTTTCCCTTTTGTGCTCAAACTAACACAAAACATGGATCATGGAATCAGGGGGATTCAAAATTAGCTAGTCCAGCTTCTCTCATTTTACAAATGAACTGAATCCAGAGAGGTTAATTTACTTATCCAAGTCACAGAGAAGCAAAGCTGATATCAAAACCTAAGTTTTCATTTGTAAAATAGTTTCTGTGTGATATTTTTTTCCCCCTCAAGTGCAAGGTGAGATCATTGTGGTAAACGTATCCAAACTTCTCTCACTTTGGGATAAGTGCGTCCCTTTAGTAACACTGTTTTGGGGAGAATGTCATTAAACTGTAGAAAAGAAACTTCTGGTTATACTTACATGTTATATCACTAGGGTTTTTGTGGGTCCCCCTCCCCCTTATTTCATTACACATTTTACCACAATTCTTTTAAGGCATAGCTCTATGTATCATTCTAAGAGTAATTGTTCACAAATTAATAGCAAGTGAACTGGATAAGTCTTGTGCTAAACCAGCCAACCCTCAAGCACATTTCAGAGTTAAGAACATATTTTATACCTTGACCTGGGAGTAAAAAATCCCCAGGCTCTTGAGAACTACTGGAGGCAGAAAATTCCTTTGGAAAATGGGCTGTTGGCCAGACTCAGTGAGCCGCTGAAAATGTCATTTTTGAGAGGAGAGTTTCTTTCCTCTTCCCTGGAAATGACAAGTCTGCAACACCACATTTCTTTTCTTTTCTTCCTTTTTTTAATTTTTTTATTTTTAAGTAATACAAGCCTACAACCTCTTATCTGAAATTCCTGGGGCCAGATGTGTGTGGAATTTAGAGCTTTTCAGATTTTAGAATGGTAATACAGCACATACACTGGATATTCTGAGTCAACCCCAGTAGGGTCTGGGGCAATACTCCATAATCAAGCACATTTATATTTTGCAGCAAAACATGAATATTCATATGAAGTGGGATAAACAAGACTATAAAATAGCTTCATGTCAGTTCATTTCAGGTCAATTTTATGACTGAGATTTATTTTCAAAATTTTAGGTTTTCAGTGCTACTTAGATGTGAAAGTTCTTGATAAGGGAGTACAGGCCTTTAATGATGTTATCAGTAAGTTCTTCCCTTAATGCATTAAAAAAATGTGTGTGTGTGTGTGTGTGTGTGTGTAATGTCTTCTTGAGCCACGTTCAACTTTAATTTTATTCTTTGTTGGAAACTACTCATTCTCATTATATTAATTTCAGAGACACATTAGCTGTGTCCTGCTCTGATCTTGCTTTAATTCCCCGCTTTTGCATGGAGCAAGGTTTTCTGCGATTCTCAGGGGTGTCTGTGAGAGTACATTGCTTTCACGTTCTGTCACATGTGTCCTCTTTGCAATACCAGTGGACTTGGCAGTGACTTGCTTCCCACCAGCCCTCCTTGCAAAATACATTGCAGCTTTGCAATTTTATTTCTGTGGCTACTAGAAGTTCCTGTAAAGATACCTGAAAAGTTATACTAAACTACAGGAAACAAGAACAGGAGTTGCCTATGAAGAGAGAGTGGAGAAGAACACCATGCTCAACTTTGTCCCTGTAAAAGAAATCTTGATCAGTCTGGCTAATGCTGTCCTAGATGCCAAGGAAAAACACGTCTTCCTCGTCTTAAATCCTCAGGGCCTACTAGATACTAGCCCTCGAAGAGTCAAGACTGGAAAAATTATCCGGAATATTCTCCAGTGTCAACAACAAAAGCTGTAGCTGTAAAACTAGCTAGGAGGAAAACAGAGTCGGCCTGGTGTAGGGGAGGATGTATAAATATAAACATGGGCAGGATTTGGATTGTACAAAGTTGCCTATAGAGGAAACCCACCAAGAGGGAAAACACTTAAAAGAAGCAGAGATGCTATGGTTTTAAAAACTGTAACTTATTGCCTGGTGCAGTAATAAAAGCTATGCACTAAAGCAGCTATTTCGGACAGCTAAATTTCACAGGCAATGCTACTAAAATACCAAAGGCCATACATAACGTCTGACCCAAGCTGCCATGTCATATAGCAAATTCTTACATGGGCGCTTAAAAAAGATTGTTTGACTGGTCCACTGTCCTGCCGCTTTGTCAGGAGACTGCTTTGTCTGACATACTGAATTTCGTGTCTCTCACACTTCCTCCTTTTCAGATGCACAAAAGGTTTTTGTCAAGTTTCTCTTGGTTTTATGGCTGGCAGCTACAGAAACCATGCGACATGCCTGGTGTAGAGTTATAGAGTGATTTGATGTGACTGGTGTCTTCAGAGCTTCTGGATATTAAAAAATAACTATTAAAATTTCCTTAAGAGCTGTTATGTGAAAATCTGTAGACTAATTCAAACTCTATACTGGACCAGTTATGTACGAGATTTGCCTGCCATTGTTGCATGTTCTCTCTGAAACCATATGAAAAAGAGCTTTTTCCGGTTCCCATGCCCTTCCCCGGTTCACTGCCCTTCCTACAGAAAATCCACCTCGGGGCATCCAGCTGTCCTCTCAGGCTGGGTCCTGGTCCAGTACCCTAAAACTATTTCCAACGAACCCAGAACGATCTGTGCTTCTGTAAGATTAGGGAACACGACTGGGATATTCATTAGGGGCCTAGGAGCTCTGTGGCGCTCTGACCTGCGAGGCAGCAGGACCGAAGTTGGAGCCCCGCCGTCCCCGGGGCCTTCACCGTGTGCTCTTGGGCAAACTGTTTTCTATATAAAGCAAATAACTCTCGCTTTACGTGCCTCGTGAGGCTGGGAGGATGAGATGACTTTACGTAGGGCACCGGAGCACTCACCATATGCTCATTTCTTGTGACTGTCACCGAACCCCAAACTGGCGAGGGGGGCTGCCCCGCGGGGCGCGGGAGGCATTTGTCGCGCGGAGTGCCGGCCCGGGGTGGGTCGCACCGTCCGGCAGGGGGCGAGCTCCTCATACTTTCTCCCTCCCCCGGACGGGCATGCCCGGCGGTCTTGGGCGGGGGGGGAACCCCCAGGAAGAGTCCAAGCCCGGGGTGGGGTGGGGTCCGGAGGGGTGGGCTGCGGCTCGGCCCAGAAGGGTGCGACGCGGCCCCGCCTGTCCGCCAGGCCCGGGGGGCGCGCCCTCGAACCACGGCGCGCAGCGCGGGGTCCGAACGCCGAGACAATGCGGCGCGCGGTGGCGGACGAGCGGCTCGGCTGGCCGGGGCGCGCGCCGCCTTCCTTCCTGCAGGCTCGGCTTCCCGGCGGCGGCGGCGGCGGCGGCGGCGGCGGCGGCGGCGGCGGCGGCGGCGGCGGCGGCGGCG